GCAGGCCTGCACCGCTCTGGCCCCTGGAGTGGAGGGTCCTTGACACCTTATAGGAGAGGGTGCTTGCCCCAGAGATACAAGACTTGAACTTTACCACTGATTCAGCACGGAGTTCTGCAGCCTTGTCGAATCAAGGGCTGGGGGATTGGGGGGGGGGCGGGGGCTGGTAGCAATAATGACTATAACCCCACTCGAGGGGGGCAAATAGCAGAATTGTAGGTGAATGGGTATATTGGATGGGGGAAGATAGGAGATATATATGCACACACAATCATAATAATAAAATAATTATTATAAGGGTTCCTGGGGGGATGGGGAGGGGATGAAAGGGAGCTGATATCAAAGACTTCCGAAAGAAAAATGTTTTGAAATGGATTGTAGTAGCGATTGTACAATTATGCTCGACTCCTTTGAATTATGGAATGTTAGGACATCTGTAAGAGCTCCCAGTAAAATGATTAATCATAAAGGAATCTAGGGCTGGGAGTTTGCACACCAGCTTCCAGTTCCTGCCTTGTCCCTCACTGTGGCCGTGGACAGACCCTCCCGTCCTCTCTGAGCCTGTTTCCCATGAGGTGTCAGCCATGGACACCTTCCGAGGACATGGTTAGGAAAGGGCGCAAGAGGAGCTGGCCGTGCACACTCCCAAGGGGCAGCCAGAGTGGAGGCCGAGGAGGCGCATCTTGCCTGGGAAGCACCTCTCGAGAGGCAAGGGAGGGTTTACAGGCCGGCACCCTTAGGGAGATGGTGATTCCCAGACCAGCCTCTTCTGGGTCCTTGGACGAAGACCGTGTCACCCTACCTTTTTCCTACCTCATGCCTCTGGCAGGACAGCCCCTGTCCTCTGGTAACGCCAGGCTCCCTTAGGATAGGCCTTTTCTTTTTCTAGAAAGCACCACTGTGTTTGCTGGTTCCCCCCTCCCCCGTGCCTGAGCCCCTCATTGAGGGAAGCAGGCCTCACCCCATTGGGATTCGAAGGGTAGCACTGAAATCCTCCCTCCCTCTGGTAGCTGGTTCTGGGATCCCAGGTCCCAGGCCAGGCTGACCCTAGAGAGGGAGTGGGGTGCCACAGCTTTATGACCTGCCTATGTTGGGCCGGCCCTGCTGGCCACCACTCACTATCCCGGAAGGACCTTCACTGAAACCCCCTTCTCCCCCACCCCCACAGCCCAAACCCCTCTGTGTGCTTTGCTCGCCCAGCCTTCACCACCTACTCTTGGCCCTCCCCGAGGTCTTGGCTCTGGGCAGGCCTCTCCAGTGCAGACTGCTCATTTTCTCACACTCTGAAAGCTCAGGGTCAGGAGGAGGGGGTGACCAGCCTCCCTGCTCCTCAAGGTCAAGTCCACACCATTTCAGCCAGACTTCAGCCCCTGGCCACCTGCTTCCCGGTCCCTCCCTCCCTCTTGTTAAGGACTTCAACATGGAGCTCCTGACTCCCTTCTCACTCATTTTGCTCCCACCATCCCCCAATGTGGCCTTGGTGACCGGGCTATCCCACACCCTGGGCTCTCTGTCCCTTGATCTCATGTCCAA